GGCTCCTGAGCGTGAGCTCTGGGCACCATGTTAGATGCTGCTTCTTAGTTGAAACAATAGAGAAGGGAAAAAATCTCCCTTAAGCCTGGCGTGGGTGGCATTGTTAGGGTCCAGAGTTAGCGCACTGGCTGCTGCAGAGTTTGAATCCTCCGCCCTTTCCCTGTCTCTTCTGACCTTGGGCAAGCTAATTAACCTCCATTTGCCTCACTTTCCCCAACTGTAAGTGTGGATAATGATACCTGTACCTTCATAGCTCGCAGGGGCATTATGATGTCTGAGCCAAGGCGCTTTTGAACTTCTTTTATGAAAGGGCGCTGAGCACCAACTGCTGTTATACTCAGTTATTAAAGACCTATTAGGCCCTGATCCTCCACAAAGCCTTGTTAAAGGGGGAAGGCAACAGCCCACAGAGGGAAAGGTGGCCTCCCGTGATGGGCATGGCTGGACCAAAACATTGTTTTCCTCCTGAAGTCTCCTAACAATTGAGGGTCGGGAGTGTTTCTCCATTCTACACGGTTGTGTTGTACTGTGTAAGCTTCTGTAAGTACCTGTGCATAACACGATCGAGGGCCATTCACAGCAGGGCAGAGAAGGGGTTAAAGGGCTTGGGTTCTGATCCTGCCTCTGATGTCTTTATAATAAAAGCCAAGAACGCAGAGATACCAAGGAGGGATGGCAGTCTTCCATTTGTCTTTCCTTCCCTCCCTCCTAATGATTCATTAATTCAATTAATAAATATTTACTGAGCTTTTATTGCAGTCTGGGCCCCACTGGGAGTTCAGTGGTGAGCAGGGTGAAGAGAATTCTTCCCGTATAGTCGAGGGCCAAGAAGCTTATTATCTAGTCAGAGTCGTGTGAATGAAGGAAGAACGTGTTGGTGAGTGTTTTGAACTCTCGGGGAGAGTCAGGATATCATTTCCAGATGTACACATCAGCCCCCATGGGTACCTGCCCTGGGAGGGCATTAGGTGGAGGGGCTGTTTGGCTTCCCAGAAGAGCAAAGGAAGAGTTAATAGATCAGAGCCCTTCTGCGCCACACTTAACAAAAGCTGCTCTTGGTGTGGGCATCTTTAGAAACAATTAGCACCTGATGGCAGTGGTTAGCAAGAACTTGATTTCTGCTTAAGGCCTTAACCCTTTGTTACTGGAGTTCAAGTCAGGGAGAGTTCAAGATCTGGGCGGTGGGCTCTTTCCAAAGTTTTTTGAAGTTATGCCACCAGTCTAGTGAGTTTCTTATGAAATGACTGCCAGACCTTGTCTCTCCAGAATGCTCTCCCTGCCTGATAGGCCTCTCTCTGCCAACGTTGGAAAACAGGTATATGGCGGCAGGCGGGCTGTGGGCCTAGTTGCTCAGTGTTCTCCGGCATGCTCATGGGGTTCCTGAAAGAACTGATGCCTGTGGACACCTGTGTCCTCGAGCCCCCATTTGGGGTCAGTATAAACAGAGTAGGGTAGGGGAAGGTTCTTTTTTCCCTGAGTCTGCCCAGCACCAGGCCTCAGGGTCACTTCAAAGAGCAAGGTCGGGGAGGCCCAGCAGTTCATGAGAAAGCACACAGTGTTCCTGTCTCCTTCCAGCCAGGACTGGCGTGGAGAGGGCAAAGGGCTGGCAGAGGCATCTACCCACAGTTGGAGTGAGAGGAAGGCGCCAGGATAGCGGGGTGTGCTCCCAGGCAATGTTACTTTCACCCAGACCCTGACATATCCCTGCGTTCCTGGTGCTAATCAGCTGCCCCCTCAGTCTGGGGGGGCCCAGAATCATTCAGCATCTGATCGAGAGGAAATGGCTAGCTCGGCAAGGAGACTGGGTCACTCAGTGTCCCTGGACTTCTTCAAGTGTGGTTGGAGCCCACAGGGGGACGCCAGTTCATCTGGGAGAACTTGACCCACTTTCATATCCTCTCCCACGTGGAGAGCTGGGTGGGAGGCTTTTGGAGACCAGCTCCAATTAAGGTTTTTTCAGGCCTGAGTATCTCCTGAGTATCCAACCCACATGTTTCCTGCTGTGGAATTCTGTGGTCCATGTCCCTGAACTGAAAACAACCCGATACAGATGAAGTTACCGCCTTGTTCTGCAGTCTTGGATTCTGCAAGCGTAGCTTCCTGTGGGGATCAGGGTCCCTTGTGGGTTTAAACACCTCTCACAATGTGAGCCCCACCCTTGTTCTTCCTGCTAAATCACTAGGCAAACCAGGGACCCAGGTTCCAAGGAGATGGGTTAGCCCTGACCTCCCTGCCCAGACCAAGGCCTCACAGCGCAGCAGCCCTGACTTCTGACAGATCCACCCTGACCCTCATCCTGGCAGATGGTCCTTCTGCTGCAGGAATGTGAACTGAAACGTGTTCTGGACCCTCTAGGTTTCTTCTGTTCTCTGCAGGTAGAGGGCATTTGAATGTCCATTTGTAATTTTATGTTTGTCCTGTGTGTGGTTGGAGGCTCTGGAGCCTGCTTTAAATCCCTGAAGCTTGAGTACTGCCAAGATGATTGGGGATTTTAAGCTGGTAAAGTGGTGATTAAGGGCCCCCAAATGATCCAGTCTTATTTACAAAGGAAGGAGCAAGAGGTGAGGTAGGGAAACTGCTAAGGTGAGCTCCGGCTACGCTGTGATTTCAGACCCGTGGGAGCTTCCCGTCTGAGGCAGAGGCTGTTCAGCAACGCCCCTCACCACCACCGTGTCTGTCCCCATTGTTGGCACTGCCCGGTGCCTTTCAAGGCACATGGTGTTCCTCCAGCCCATTGTTGGAGTTGCAGGAAGACGGGGGTGCAGTGATTTTAGGAGACATGATTGGGCCTATAGGCCAGCAAGCTGGCTGTGGGGGCATCTGTCCAGGGCCCTGGCTTTGCTTTCCTGCATGGAGCAGCCTTCCTTCCAGAGCTCATGGTGGGACAGGGTGGAGTGGAGTTGCCAGAACAAGTGTCTGTCCTTCCACCTGGCGTGAAGCTGCTGCTGCCACTTGCAAGGCAGCACATGCCCATCGGCTTACGTTTGCTCCAGGCGTTGGCTGCCCACCCTAACGTTCCATCTCCTGGGAGAGGAGTCTCCTCAGGCCTGTGAGCAGTGATGTGGGGCTTGGATGCTCTACACCAGGCCCTGCCCCGGACTGGCCGACAATCAGAAAAATCTTTCTTTTGTTCTCATGTTCTTACCCCACTCCATTTCCTTTAAAAGAGTCATTTATTTATTTATTTTTTGGAGTGGGTAATGCATATACATTGTACAGAATTCAAAAGGCTATATGAAGAAAATGTGTCTTCCTTCTTCCCTGGATTCCCATCCCTGGAAGAGACTGCTGTTAGCCGTCTTGTGCATCTTAACCGGGGACATTCTGCACATGTAAAAGTGATCATGCCACATGTGTGACCACACACCAGCCTGACATGCACTATTTTATTTTCACACTGTAATACAGTGTTCTGCACCTTACTTTTTTTCACTTCACAATAAATACTAGGACTCTGTATACCACCACCATCATCATTCAGCTAATACCGCTTGAGCATTTCCTGTGCGCTGGCTGTTGTTGAAAGTGCTTTACTTTATCTATCTACTCCTTCACTTCTCACAACAACCCTATGAACTACGTCCTGTTATTGTGGACAGTTTGCAGATGAGTAAACAGGCACACAGAGAGGTAAGTGTATCCATAGGATCAATTCCTACAGGCTGAATTGTTAGAACAAAGGGTACATCTGTTTCAGTTTTTAGTATTGTCAAATTTCCCTTCGTGGAGATACTAACATTTTATATACCCACTAAAATTGTACAAGAATACCTATTTCCCTGATACCCTGGCAGAAATTCTTAAACTTTTTGATTGTTGCTAATCTGATTGGTGAAAAGTGGCATGTTATTATAATTTTAATTTGCATTTTCCTTATGAGGAAATAAAGCATGATTTCATCTTTAAGAGCCATTTATGAACAATCTATTGTATTGTTTGTCCATTTCTTTCTTGGCTTGGCAGTCTTTTTCTTATTGATCTACAGGTATTATTTATATATTAAGGAAGTTTGTCCTATAGCTGTGATGTATATTACTACACACATTTCCACAATTTGTCATTGTTCTTTTTAAAATATATATATATATATTTTATTGATTTCAGAGAGAGGAAGGGAGAGGGAGAGAGATAGAAACAAGCATGATGAGAGAGTCATTGCTCGGCTGCCTCCCACATGCCCCCTACTGGGGGTTGAGCCTGCATCCCGGGCATGTGCCCTGACTGAGAATCGAACCATGTTCTCCTGGATCATAGGTTGATGCTCAACTGCTGAGCCATGCTGGCCTGGCTGTCATTGTTCTTTTGGTTATATTGTTTTTTTTCCATGCAGAGAGTTTGCTATTTATATAATCAGATTTTTAAATTTTTTCTTTTATCACTTCTAGGTTTTGCTTCATATTCTTTTCTCCCACTGTTTTGTTTTTTCTGTGTTTTCGTCTAATATACTTAATCTCTCTTCTCTACAGTTAAAATTTTGCTCCACAACCAAGGTATCAAACCCGGCATTGTGTTCCTCCAGCGGGATGTTGACAACATTAGCTGTAACAGCTTCTTGCCATAATGTTTAACCTTACTCTAATCTAAGGAACAATTAGACACATCCACCTTGTGGGACATCCTAAAGACAATGGTCCTGGGCTCTAGAAAATGTTAGTGTTGTGATAGACCAGGAAAAGCTGGCGAACCTTCTAGGCTAAAGGAGGTGAAAGAGCGTGGGACCCAAGTGCAGCTGAGATCCTTGATTGGATCCTGGGTTAAACATCGGTGAAGGCCAAAGAGGGGAGTGGGGCTGGGGAAATTTGGACATGGGCTGTACATCAGAGACTACTACTGGGCCAGTATGAAGTTCCGCGGGGGTGAAAAGAACTCTGCGGGAGAACGGCCTTAGGAGAGACATGAGACGCTTAGCGAAGTATCATGATATCCGCAACTTTCTCACAAGTGCTCAGGCTAAGCAGCAGACGTGCTCACATCTGCACCACATGGAGAGGCGTGGGACAGACATGGCACACTGTCAGCAACGGGGCCCTCGGGGCGGGTATTGGGCTGTTCCTTGTGCTGCTTTTTCAGCTTTGCTGTGGCTTTGAAATTTTTCAAAATAAAAAGGTGAGGAGAAAAGAACACCAACCTTGTTCCATCTGGAAGTTATTTTTGTCCCAGTTCACTTGGCTTTGTCTGGCTCTCCCGGGTCATTGTCCGGGATTTCTGGTTTCTTGCCCCTTCTTTTATGGCATACACAGTCACCTGTTTGCCTTTCTCTTAGGGATTTCTGTTTTGGATGAGCTATTCTGTTTTGGACTTGGACGTTTTTATGATCGAGTATCTTTTTGGCAAACATGTGACTTTTCTAGAAGCAGGTAAGAACCGGTGTGCACTGGTGCCTGTTGTCTTGTTTTAACAGCTCTGATGATCAGTTATGTGTTCCGAGTAAATTTGCAAGGAAGTCTCATTCTCTGAGACTGGAGTCGTCATCCTCAGGAGACTGTCGCGCTGATGTGCAGTGTAATTCATCTTGCCCTCGTGGACCTCGCTTGATACAGGCTTTTCCTCTCCGGTAGGGGTTTTCCAAGAGTCAGGTTCTGCTTGGGTTCTGTGGACATGGGATTGTGAAAGACTCCTGGGTTTCAATTTATGAAATGTGACAGTCTTGGGTGAGTAGCTGGCCTATAAACCAGGAGTCTTTTTGCCAGGGGAGTGCTAACAGGCCAGTTTTGCCGGAAGCTTCTGCTGCCTTTCTATGGCTCGGTGACTAATGGTTTTGCTGCTTTGGGAATCGGGATGTCATTACAAATGGGTAATAAGGATTTGGCTCCTAAACTGGTTCCCTGGGTGCGCCTGTCTGGGTGTTTATGCCTACACCCATTGAGAATGGGGACAGTCTCTTGTGGCCCTCACACGGCCCCTGTGGCCTCCATTCCATTTCTATCCACATGTCTGAGCTTTTGCACTGTGGCCCAGGCCTGGAGCAAACCCTGCAGGTGGCTGTGGGTGGATTCCTGCTGCTTTAGGTGTTCTGTTTTCCCATCAGAGCAGCATGTGCATTTTCTCTGGTCATTCCTCACCTAACCTCCTGCCACCACTGTCCTTGCCTTCTGCTGGCCAAGTTTAGTGACCCCTCAGAGCTTCTCGTCCTCACGCTGCTTCCCCCAGCAAGTTTCTGGAATAAGTGCCTGTAGGTTCTGGAGTTGTCTTTGTTTAAAATATTTTTGACTCTGATTATCAGCTTGTTCAACATTTAGGAAGGAAGGAAACCGAGTCTTCGGCAGCCTCTTAGGGGAGGTTTCCTCCTTCCTTGGATTATTTTTTGTCCAGAGGGAGCTGGAGGGAACGGAGAGGGAAGGTCACTGCCTGTGTAGTAGGGCAGAGCAGTTATCCAAACAAACAGTGCATATGGCTGTGTGACGCTGAAAGTATGATGAATCCTTGCAAGCAGTAGCAATGGTGTGGGTATTTTAGAGGTAAACAAACATACCTATATTCTTATGCAAATTAGCACATACTTGTATGCTGAAAGCCTGTAAGTATAGGAGGCAGTAACCCTAAAACCTATTTTCTTTTTTTTATCCTCACCTACGAATATGTTTATTGATTTTTAGACAGTAGAAAGAGGGGACAGGGAGAGAGAGAGAGAGAGGGAGGGAGGGAGAGAAACATTGATGTGAGAGAGAAACATCCATCGTTGCCTCCTGTATGCACTCTGACCGGAGATGGAACTCGCAACCTAGGTATTTACCCTGACTGGGAATCAAACCTGAAAGTTTTTGGTACACAGGACAACGCTCCAACCAACTGAGCCACCCAGCCAGGACAAAAACCTATTTTCTTAAGAGTTTATAGGCATTTTACCCAGGAGACCGCACCGAGAGCCTGTCAGCAGGGTCCTGAGGACAGCCATCCCCAGAGCTGGGCAGTGAGCAGGTGGCTGGCTCTGGAGGCCAAGTGGCTGCTAGCCTGTCCCTCTGGGGGCATGCACAGCTGGGGGCCCAGCTCTTGCCCTGCAGGCAACCCCATTGATTTAATGACCTACTTACTGCAATAGGAAGCTGGAGGTTCCTGGCCCTGGGCTTCTGAGGGGCTGCAGTGAATCATGTTCAGGAGGCTTATTTATTTGACCCAATTATAGGAGACTTTAATGGAGGGAGAGTGGGGACCAGGGGGAAGAGCTGGGGAGGGCAGTGATTTCTGGGCAGGCCAGCCTGCCGTGAGCACTGGGAGGGCCCCGCAGGCCATGCCTGGGCCTGCCTTTGAGGGCAAGGCTTGTCCCTGTGAGAACGAGGGTAGCGTGAATGTGTCCACATGGCTCTCAGTGGAGGAACCTTCTACAGCTCCTGATAAATAAATAGCACTGTGTCACTTTCCCCCCTTCCTCTTTAAAAACAAACAAACAAACTTTAAAATTTCCCAATTAGAATTTTAAATGGTGACTCTACAGGATTTGACATAGCCCTGGGCAGCAGGGTTGAAGGTGATGGGCCAAAATGCACATTCTGGCATCCTTTTCTGGAGGTGACCTGAGGTCTGTGAAACCTCCTGGCCAGGCTCCTTCTCTGGGATTATTCGGCTTGGAACTGGTCCTTCCATCCTCAAGTTGACTTCAGCAAACTCCCTAAGAACACTGACCAGCAGTGCAAATGGAGTTTTCTCTTGGTGAGGGGGAGGAGGGTTGTCACATGCTGGGGTACCTCAGCCGCTAACCTAGGTCACAGGAGAGAAAAAGGGTCCTTCTGCCACCAGCTGGCATGGGTGAGCTTTTGGCACTGCCAGGTGCTTGGCCCATGAGGGTGATCCAGCCTGGGAGCCTTGTGCCCAGGATGGAGGTAGGGCCATTTCATCCACTTGAAAGCTGGGGTTTCCAGCCCTTACATTCACTTATAAATAGACCAGGGCTCTGGAGTCTGCATTACCCACCCCCATGGAACCTGCCAGAGTCCGAAGGTCACGAGTCAGACTGAATCAGAGGACCATCCGGAGCGGGATTCTGTAGGCCCGCTGGTTCCTGAATTCAGGTCTCAGGCTCCCTGCCTTGGCCAGGTTTCAGGGCTCCAGCTGTTCTCTGGGAAGAAGAAAAAGAATCTTTTTAAAGTAGGTCAAAAGATGCCTTTTTTTCCTTCTGTCACTGTTCCCATACTGTGCGAAGAGGAGATAAAACCACCACCTGCATGTCCCTTGGTCAGAACTGTGGAGCTAATGACTTGCCCAGGATGGGGAGTGCCCTGCTGCAGCCAGAAACTTCCTCAGGCTCCAGGTTCCCTTCCCGTTTGCCTTGTTCTCAGAGCTGTCGGAGCGGCCACCAGGTACTCTTTCTTAGCTGTAAAACGGTGGGTTTCACTCAGTTCAGGACTCAAAGAGACAGTAAGATTGGGTAACTTTTTCTACAAATCAGGCCAAAATCACAAATACATTTTTTATACCAGAAGTTCTAAACAGATGCCTTATACCAGTTCAGTTACATCAACATATATAACATGTATGGACAAGTGCCTTCAGTTCCTCCGAGTCTCAGATTCTCTGAGGAAAGGAAATCCTGAGTTTGGGAGCCTTCCTTCGTGGTGCCCAAGTGAATCTAGCACAGATGTGACTGGCAACACTGTCTCATCCAGCCAGGTTCTTCACCACAAGGATCTGAGGTTTTTTGAGGGGCCACGAAAATACTGGAGACCAGAAAAAAATATGTCAGCTCCCTCTACTCTTGTGAGTTATATGAGAATTCTGTTTGATGAGATGGGTTCCTTTTGATCTGTCTCTGAGAATAAGGCTGCCTGGGGCCTCTGAAGGCCTTCAGACCAGCCTGTGGCCTGCCCTCAGAAGGCTTCCAGTTTGGAGGTGGAAACAGATATGCAGACACCACTGCCACTCCTCACTCCCCAGTGGCTTTTTAATGTTTTCCCGGCTTTTAATTTTGATTTCAAATCTACAGAGAAGTTGAAATAGTACAATGAACACCCCTATCTATGCCTTTTACCTAGATTCACCAATGTTAACGTTTTGTCGGATTTGCTCACACATTCTCTGTCTCCACACGCATTCACACTCACACTTTTTTTTCTGAACCATTTGAGAGTAAGTTGTAGGCATCGAGGCATTTCATGCTTAAACACTTCAGCCTGTATCTTAGGAACCAGGATACTTTCCAGCATAATCACAACATAATCAGTATATTCAACACATATAACGTTGACACATTACTATTATCTAATAAATACTCCCTATTAAATTTTCTGCAATTGCCCAGTAATG